AGGGTGAAGGTACTGGTTGGAGAACCTTAGAAAAGGGTCCAAATATTCTACCAAAATCTGGACCTTTCTCACTTCCTAAGGGGTTTTTGGGATTTTACAATAAGGCAAATTTTCTATTAAGAGAGGTTTGGAAAACTCTTCTTTCTATCTTCTTAGCAAATAATAGTGACATCAAGTTTGAAATAGATTAACTCAAGGAAGAAAGATCCATGTGCTGAGTGTGCACCAGTAATTTACTTCTCCATTTCTTCCTGTATAAGTTTAAATTCTTTGAGTCTGGGCTCTCCCAGGTGGCACCCGGACACTGATCTATAACCTGGGTATTGAAGAAGCAAGGCTTTTGGCCCATTTCAGGGCAATGTAGGCAGCAGGAGAGGGCACCATTGTGAATACTGCAACCACTGCAGTCATATATTCACAAGACAGCAAAACTAGTGATTCATAATTGTAATATATTAACAACTACTTTATAAATAAAATATTCAGGCACCTGTTGATAGAAATTAGGTAAGGGGAAGTTTACCATTAAATCTGTGAATTTATTAGTATATTTTATAAAGAAAGTGTCTATTCACCTAATTATGTGTTTACTTGAAAAAAATATAGATGAAGAAGAATAAGGGATAAGCTTGGAATCTTTCTATAAATTCCCAACAACCTCACAGTTGCTTGACATCCATTGATAAAGTAAAGGTTTAAAGAGAAAATAATGGAAAGTAATCAAATTTTTAATCTTTGTATGAAATAACCAGGAGAATACCTATGGAGCAGTCTACTCAAAGCAACTCAAAATTACCTCCTGCCTAAGACAAGAGGTGCATACTAGGAGTGAATTTTGGTGTTCATGCAGGAGTGTGTGTCTGTGTGTGTGTTGGTGTTTCAGTGTGTTGATGTGTTGGTGTGTGTGTTTATGTGTTCGAGAGGAGAGAGAGAGAGAGAGAGAGAGAGAGAGATTAAGAGGGAGGTAGAAAGTTTAATTAATCTGTTGGTATTTAGTTCTAAACACTACTCCTCAAAGTTTAACTTTTGTAAAAGGAATATTGGCTTATTTGAGAGCCAG